TAGCCACCCATGTGGATGATTTTGGAATATTTCAGAATTTGGAATATACTGTTTACTTATGAGGATAAAATTTGTCTTGAGTTTTAAATCCCTTCACTATGATATCAATCTGGAGAACTAGAAAAGCAAAATGGGAGAGGGGACTCTATTGTGTCTGTATACAATTTAATTTCAGTTGTGTGTTGTATCTAAACACAGGATTGCTGATTTAAAAACTGGAGATTAATTGCTATCTCCAACATATCGCCAATGTTTGACCAAGATATACAGGTTAAGTTAATGCCTGAAGACCAACTGATGGATGGATGACAATATTCAGATGCAATATTGACAAAGGGGGGTTGCAGACTGCCATAAATAGTGCAAATTCAGTCCACTTTTAGGGTTAGGGTTAGGGTTAGGGAATCATGGGAACTGTATCTGACAGAGAAGGCTCAATGTCTCAGAAAAAAAAACCCAATTCCCATGTTTCCCTAGCACTAACCCTTAAAGTGGACTCAATTTGCACTATTTCTGGCAGTCTGCAAAGGCCCTAACTGAAAGAAATTGGCAGCATGAGCTTTCACAGACTTCAGTCTACTTCCTCCAATGCATTTGGTGGTGTGGAGGCCAGGCACAGACATATATATATATATGTGAGGATGTCAATTCAAATTACAGATCCTTTGTGTATGGAAATGAAGTGCCCAAAAAACTCAATCTGAATAAAAAGGTCTTTGCCTGCTGGCCAAAAGAAAGTAAGGGCCTTTGCAGACTACCAGAAATAGTGCAAATTGAGTCCACTTTAACTGCCCTGACTTAGTGCTAGGGAATCATGGGAACTGTATTTTATTGTGGCACCAGATCTCTCTGACAGAGAAGGTTCAATGTCTCAGAAAAAAAACCCAATTCCCATTATTCCCTAGCACTAACCCTAACCCTTAAAGTGGACTCAATTTGCACTATTTCTGGCAGTCTGCAACCCCCCTAACCTACCTTTTGTACAGTCTATCAGTCTCTGAGTTTAGTTATCACTCATTTTATGTATGGTATTTTCTGCACTTCTGTTGTAACCTATAACCAACATGGAAATTTAAGAAAACTAGATAAGATAATTATGGCCATATATCAAGGTGATGTGTCAAGCTGTGTAACTCATAAACTCAAGATGCCAAGAATTTTTGCTAAACTTTGGCATTTTGTACAATAAATGCCTTGAGGCTCAGATGCATCACAGCAAATACTCCCCAAAGTATGAGGCAGATTGGAGACAATCAACAATACACTGAATATTGCATGTTGCTTTCAAGTCCCTGCCTTTGCCTTCTCTCAACCCCTTTACTGTACTGACAAATGTCATTTATTCAAGGTAGTTTTCATTCTAAAACACCAAATTTCAACCATAAACTATCCAGGGATAGCCATGTTGGCCATTTAGCAAATTCAATCAAAAAGCCACTAAACGGTGATACCTTTATTGGCCAGCCAAAATACACAATATACATGTTGCAAGCTTTCGCAGTATCACTGGTTTGTTAGTCAGGCAAGATGTTACAAACCAAACAGGAGGAAAAAAATTGAGGGTTTTAGTCATAGGCCTGTATTTTGCTGTTTCTGTTCTCAGTTCAAATGGTATGGGGGGAGGGGTATTACTCGCAGGTTGGCCCTTCCTCCTTCTGGCCATGTGGCTGATGGGAGATTCTCAGAGTCCAGGAAATTTAACATCCATTTGCATCTCAACTATAAACTAATGATCTACCTTACTAGTGATCAACAATGGCCTTACATGCTGAATACCAACCTAGTTATATTACCTGTGAGAAATCTAAGTTCACTTCATAGTATAAAACACACATATACCACATTCAATGTGAAGTGTGCATGTCTATATATTCAGCAAGTATAATTTTACAGAGTCAGCATGATCTAGTGATTTGAGAGTTGGACTAGCACTCTGGGAGATCAGGGTTCAAATCCCCACTGCCATGTAAACCCACTGGTTAAGCTTGCGCTTTTCAGCCTTAGGGAGGTTGCAGACTGCCAGAAATAGTGCAAATTGAGTCCACTTTTAGGTTTAGGGTTAGGGAATCATAGGAACTGTAGTTTACTGTGGCACCAGAGCTCTCTGACAGAGAAGGCTCAATGTCTCAGGGGGGAAAAACAATTCCCATGATTCCCTAGCACTAACCCTAACCCTAAAAGTGGACTCAATTTGCACTATTTCTGGCAGTTTGCAAAGGCCCAATGTTCCCTTAAGTTGGAAATGAATTGAAGGCACATAACAACAAAATGTTTCAAAATATACGTATGTAGAGCTGACATGTCATACACATCCTAAACAAAAGGGGTACTTTGCTTACAATTACATCTCCATGTTGCAACTAATAAACAGTTTCAGTAAACAGATTTATTATTATTATAGTGACTGTGTGTTTTAGCACTAAACCAATTAGAATCACAAGTACAAGTAGTATCATGACTCATACACAATTGTATGCTATTTTACAGAACAGTTTATTCAGATCTTTTTTACTGCCTACTGCAGCAATGCTGGGTAAAGTAGAAGCCAGTAGAGAAAAAGGAGACCTCTTACAGGTGGATTGACTCAAGCAAGAAAGCCTTGATCTTAAGTTTGCAAGACCTGAGCAGGTTGTTAATGACCAAGGTTTCTCAGTCATAGGCCAAATCAAAGTCAAAGCTGACCTGATGGCAAGCACCAAGAATCAGCAGCAAGGCAGGGGTGGGGAATGTTTGAGGCTGTTAGACTGCAATTTCTATAGGCAATGATGAGGGATAATAGGAGCTGCAATATAACAGCATCTCCATCACTTTGCTAAAGTAGAGTCTTTCACCTGTGTACAATCCAGTCCACAACCATGAGCTCTGCTGCTAAAAGTTCATACTAAAATGTTGACTCTTCTATGATCAGGTCTCTGCTGAAATTGGGATGATTTGGGTTTATATGAAAGATGACACAGCAGCTGTGCCCTAACACAGCATAATCGTTGACAAAAAATCTTGTGCACTAAAATTCATTCTGCCAAGTGTTAGCTTGGAGCAAAAATTTTAAAGGGTGAGTTATAGCACTCAGTCTTGAAAACTGGGAGGGGTATATAATGGTTCTGCTGACAAACTATCTTAATTACTACTTCTTTGAAAAATAGAAGTTAGAAAGAAAGTCATAAAAATCCCACATTCAAACTCAAAGAGATTAAATCAGTAAGAATTCCTTTGGTAAGAACTATAATACAAACATACAAAGGAAAGTCTCCTTTCTGGCCATAAATCAAGTGATGTCTTTGATTTTTGTGTAACCTGAAGAATTTAGTGGTCCTCCTAATTTACACACCAGGTGGTGGCAGGCAATTGTCTGCTGGCAAGCAAGCACAAAAAAAAAAAAATCAGGAAGTTTATTACCATCCAAAGCATTTGCAACATAGTTTGGAAATGAGAACACAAGGGTTTTTTTCTGCACTCTACACATTAATAATGAATTGGCTCATGTTAGCAGTTCAGCAAATTCACTTTCTATATTTGCTACAGTGAGATTCTAATTTAGGTCTCTCAGTGTATACAAGGTTTGTGGAACTACTACTTATCTACACACTTGTATTTTAAATATGTCAAATTTTCAGCTTTACAACCCTCCTGCCAAGGACAGAATGCTGAATTAGAGCAAAATTTGTTGGATGGTTGGTTGGATTTTGAAGTGCACATATTCCTTTAAAGTATTAGTGTATTATTCAGCCACAATCTGATATCTCTTTTACTTCAGTAGGGAAACTAAATGCAAAAGCCTTACTCTCAGAATTAAACTTTTTATGGGAGATGAAAGCATCAAACCTTGGCAAGATTCTGTCCTCAAATATTTTATCCCAAGCAAGAGTAGCCCTTAGAACATCAGAACAATTACACCAGAACAACAAAACCCTTGCCATACTAAATCCCTGCTGGCTTGCACAAAAGACTGGAGTAAACCGACTAACACTTAACACCTTAATTCTCGGTTATTACGCACATATAATTTCCTGCAATTTAGAAACTGCTGCTGGTTGTGTCTTTGATGTTCCCTAGTTTTAAGGCTAGAAAAAGACCACCGCTAGCAGTGCTATCTCAGAAAAAAGTGGCTCCTTGTTCTTTCCTTTGTAATCTCTTTTCTCTGCACTTTAAAATTGTTCTCAAGTAAGCAGTTAGCAAAGTCTATCCTAACAAATCAGTGCCCCCGCCCCCCACATCTACCAACCTCCCAGCTTCCAGGGCTACCACAAGCAGTAACACTGCTACAGGCATCTATTTGAAAAATATCAGCCAAAAAACAGTGACTAACATGGTTCTGTGTAAGAGTTGTTCAATTATGGCTTATATCAGGGCTGTGAATCATGTAGCTCTCCAGATATTGTTGAACTACAATTCCAACCATTCCTCACCAATGGCTGAGCTGGTGAAGGAAGCTGTAATTCAACATCTGGAGAACCACATGATTCCCACCATTGGATCGCTTAGATACACTAGGTCAACTGGACAAGTCACTGGCTCCAGTCTAGCAAATGTTAGCCCCACTGAAAGCAACGAGATTTCAGTGAGTCACAACTGATATGTATTGTGACTTACTCGTATTTCAGTTTAACTAAATCGGGATCACTGAGTTTAATTTTTTTGATAACTTAAGAACTGCTCACATTGGGAATGGCACAGATCATAGTATATTTTTGAGGCCTACAGTTTTGTTTGAAACTTTAGATTTCCTGCTTTTTGTGGTAAAAACAAAAGACTAACAAATGCACATGGTTGGAATGACCTCTCCGAAAATTCAGAAATAACTTAGAAGATATATATAACCAGCACAAGTACTATTAATTCTTTACCTCAAGAAACGCACACTATGTTGTGTGCCTTCGAGTAATTTCTGACTTATGATGAATCTATCACAGGGTTTTCTTGGCAAGATTTTTTTCAGAGAGGTTTTGCCTTTGTGTTCCTCTGACAGAGCATGACTTTCCCATTGTCACTCAGTGGATTCATGGCTGAGCAGGGATTTGAACCCTGGTCTTCAGAGCAATAGTCTAATGCTCAAACCACCCTGGCTCAATAAGAAAAATATGTTAAGCACTTATAATTTTTTGTTTTAATTCCTGTTCCTACTGAATACAGCCAGCCTTTCACCATTTCACTACTTCACTGCATTTAATGGCACTTGAGCATCCATGGGTTTTGGTATCCATGGGGAGGGGGGGTTCCTGGAACCAAACCCCGTCAGATACCAAGGCCCATTTCTGTAACCTATAGTATATATTATGCTGATATAAGTTTGTTGGACTTTTTAATCTGCTGTTTATTCATTGTGTATCATTTTTATTGTATTTTGCTGTGCTTTTGTCTTCACAAATCTATAAGGCTGAAGAAATTTAACAAACCTTTCTTTAAAAAATTATCCTGGGTACCAAATTAATTATGGCTATTACTTACCAGGGTTAAAAAAGATGCCTTTTTATGCAAAAGGTTCCAGGTTGAATCTGTAATATTTCCTGCTTGAATTGGCTATGTCTTCTGTCTGAAGCCATGATAAGCCAATTCTATTTATCTCTTTGCAATATATAAGTAACTGCTTCTGATGTTTTGTATTCCTATAGCGAAAAACAAATCACCAAGAACAGATGATATTCCAACAGAACTGCTGCAATCCACACTGACAGTGTCAATTTTAGTGCTAACCAACACATGTCAACAGATATGGAAAACAAAATAGTGGCCAACACACTGGAAGTGATCAATATACTCCCCCATCCACAAAAAGAGAGAAATATGAGACTGCAGCAATTATAGAACCATAGCACTAATCTCCCATGCAAGCAAAATCATGTTCAAAATTCTGCAACATAGACTCCAACCAGACATGGAGAGAGAAATCCCAGCGGTCCAAGCAGGGTTCAGAAAAGAAAGAGGCACGAGGGACCACATTGCAAACATACGATGGATAATGGAGTGCACCAGGGAATTCCAAAAGAAAATCCACATGTGATTTATAGACTATAGCAAAGCCTTTGACTGCATAGATCAGGGGCAGGCA